TCAGATGATCAGGTGATACCCCTCAGTCATTGTCAGGTGTGGCAGCACCACAGTGTATATGCAACCTGGGTCACAGGGCCCTACCATCAAATGGCATGACTTCCCTTAGAAAATGGGGATTTTTCAAATGGATTCATGTCCAGATGACATATGCAGATTTGACTACAGTGTGTCTGTGCCAATTCTTCAACATCTGAATCTAGCAAATGTCATGTCCTGTGTCAAGTGATTTAATATAACCAGGAGACTCTCCTCACACTTCCGGAATAATAACAGCCCGAATTCAATCCCGAAAACTAAAGTAGAATACACGTCTCAGTTCTGGTTTCAATCTCTTCTCCTCCCTTTTCCAGTACAAAGCCAAACACTTGTTCTTAGCAATTTCTACTTTTAGGTCTGATTCTCGAGAATAAACTATAAGACATTTTGATATTAAAAAATAAATAAATAACTGAGCTTAGTAGAAGAAACTGGACGGGCATCATCTGAAATCTTTCCTTGAGTTAAAGTTTAGAAAAGCTATGCTGCCAGGCATGGAGAAGCCCCACGCCAATAACGCCCTCTGAATGTTAACAGAACAGAGGAGGTACCAGTCACCTCTGCAGCGGGATGTTGGATACATCTTTCACAGTAAAAGTCCTAATAGGTGCAAAATTACTTTTCATTTCTAGAAGGACAGAACTCAAGAATTCACCTGTGCTTGGAGCTCAGTGCCAAAGATACAGGCACAGTGTCTCTGTTAGTACGTTTGATCCATATGCCAAGCCTGTAATTCTTTCTTCCAGAAATAATACTTATTGAATAAATGAACTGAATAAATGTGCTTGTCTTTGATTCAATTCAACTAAAATTCACGGGGTTTCATGGCTGAGACTTACATGTCACAGCCTCTCTCACCTGAACTCGCCGCCAACGACTCGTTTGAAACACGCACACGTGGTCTGCCCACCGCTCCCTCCCAGCTCACTCACTGTCCCTCCGCCACTCACGCACATCTGCGGAGACTCAGCACAGTCTCCCTAAGGTGGCGAAGCACCCACAGGGTTGTCCTAGGTGGTCTCCACGGTTTGAGTGACACACAAATTTGGCTGCAAATTTCACAAGTGCTCCACAAAGAGAGGTACTCCCATTGTTACTGCCATTATTAGCATCACTATGACTATGATTGTCACTCGTTTTGGCATTTAGCACAAGCTAAATGCATATATTTCCTATT